GGGGGGAGATGGGCGGGCAGGGACAAGCAAACAGGCTGGGCATTGGAGCCAAGACAGAGAGGAATGAGGGAGGGGGTACTGGACAGGCTGGGGCACTCTAGCTGAAGAAGACTAGATGGGGGTTAGGGCGGGCTTAGGCGGATGACGGGCGTATCATACGAGGGAAGTGGCATGTATTGTATTATTATGAGGGCGGTCAAAATAGTTGTACGGAGCGATAATCAGGACATATTATGCATTTTCATTCTGGTATTTTTTACATCTCCTGTTTCCTCCCCTGTAGATTACATTGCAGGTTCTGAAACCGTGGGAATAGTTGAACTATTGCATACAACAAAATCAGACTCGCAGACTCAACTTTTGTGTCGACTCTGCAGAGTAATTTTCCCCTACAAATATCTCATGTTAACAAGCAAATTGATTAAGAACTGATGGATAATTCGAGGAACGGAATCTCATCAAGCCACATCATTATATGCGTATTTTATTCTGCACCCACCGTACCAATACGAGTGTAATACAGATCCCCCCCTGTATTACCAAAAGAAAAACCCAAATCCTGCCAAGGTTTAAGCGGAGCCAAGAAAAAGCCAAGCCAGCCAAGCCAGCCAAAGTGAGCCAAGGGTATACAGCCAAAATCTTCGCCTTTTCTCGGCGCGCCGTTGACTCAGATTGTTGACTCGCTCGCTTGCCCATCGTGGATGTCAATGCGAGCATCGAGCTGGCTATATCGATAAGGATTTCCAAACTCCTGGCGTTCAGCCCTAGGACACAGGACATCGTTCAGAACTGTTGCTGTCCCGTTGTCTCATTTAGAAGTAACAGCCAATAATGAGTGATGGCAACGCTGCATACGTTTACGTAGAGTATCCTCCGAATATTCCACATTATATTCCGCCACTTCGGGTCGCAGAGAAATGGGGAGAGGCGGCGGTCGAGCAAGCATGACTCGTTTCTATCAGTCCTCCACAGTCCACACCAGTATTAGTAGTCGAAAGCGGGGGGGTTGAAGGCTTGTTGAAATAAGAGAAAACACCAAGACCAAAAACACTAATTATAAGCTACTAAAATCCCAATTCTAAATGACCCTTGTGATTCTTTGAGATGGGGGGGGGGGGAAGATGGGTCCCATTATTTTGCATGCAAGTTTGTACGAAGTAGTTAGGCTAGCAGAGTGGCGCAGCCCGGTATCCCTTGCAAATGATGGATGAAATCATGGCGGGGAAAAAATGAAAATATTGCAGTATGTGACGAGAACAGCACGGGATTATTTTCACCCGATGTGGAATACGGAGGAAATAATAGATTGCGATATGAAACTGCTCTTATGACTTCCAATAATGCTCTGTGGATTTTCTTCATCGAAAAGCAGGACTGTGTTTGTACCTGGTCGCTCGAATCGGGGAGGGAATGGCTGTTGCACAGATGATGCTTAATTAGGCTACATGAATTAGGTTTATGCAACTTGGCCTCGGGGTTACAGTATCATGGGAGTCTGCGGGATAAAAGTAATCCCTCATCCTGTCCAGTGTCACGCCAGACAGAAAGGGAGCATCGGCATTGTTTCGCTGGAGTGACGAGTTTGTGTCTTGTACTTACTCCGTATGAATGTTTGTTCCAAACGTGGCAACTAGACGCTGTCTCCAGTTCAGCGAAAAAGTAAGCTCTTGAGCTAATGTTATGCTGCTTTTCATAACTAGTTAGTTATTTTAGTACTTAGAAGGGGGGGTCTCTGTCCACCCGGATCTGAAGTACTTACGCGCCGGCCTTTTGAAACTTGGCAATCACGAGCTAGTTAGCTAACTTACCAAACCAAATGTAAAGGGGTTAGGCGCAAAATAGAGGTCCTCAAACCTCATTTATAATGCAGCTTCATCCACTAGGGGTTGAGCAATGGATAATATATATTTACCCCCCCCCATAGGGTCCCCAGGTGTGATTTTAATGGACTGAGCAATCTGAACCACGCCGAGGGTTATTCCGGCCGAAAATTCGACCCACTACCTATCTAGGCAAGTAGATCTCCTGGCGCGGAATCGAACAGCTACTATGACGAGCTGTATATCTCAAGAGCAGGTATCAAATCAACATACTCTGATTAACCTATCAAAAAAGCCAAAATGAGGCTGCACTTCCTTGGTATTTCTTCCTCTCTCTATATAAAAGTTGCTCTAGAACTGATGATGCATAGAATGCACCCAGGCTCCTCGAACAAGACGTAGCGGCAGACTGAAGAGCCCGGCCCCTTTGGTTTCGGCAGCGGGAGGACGCAACGAACAAATAAACAAAACTCTCTCAAAGGCGTGCCGAGCTTTGTTGGAATGAAAGAGTGGCTGCAGAGTTTAGGGCACTCAGCACGAATAACCAATGACCTTGTGACAGACACACAGGTCGTCCTGACCTGATCTGGGATAAGGAGACCAACGGCTTGAATATCATCCATGTCAGCGGTATGAGAGGGAAAGGTAGCACTTGCAATTTTACACGCAGCTTTCTTCGCGCCCATAGCGTGCGAACAGAATTCCCCAAGCGGATTGGGCTTTATACCAACAAACGTGATGGAGAAACCAGTTGTAACCGGTATCACATCTCCCGGAATGGACCATGTCGCCCGACTTGGACCTACTATCTAGACGATCGCTTGGTATAAAGCAGGAATCTTTAAACCGGGGCGCACCCGCGTTCTCAGCAACACAGGAACCTGGTCCCGTGGAAGTTATGCGCAAGCGCGCTCTTGATAAAAGACACTAGTTTGACGTTTGTGTCAAACTAATGACTGCCTTCCCACTCATGGTAGAGTGCTCAGCGTTCCCGTGCAGCGATTGAACTGTTCCTTAGCATTTGAGCTCACTAAGGCATTTCTGCGAATCAAAGCACCTGGCCATACACTTAGCGCTGAAGATATCCATTGTGGCGTGGAAAATTTCTCATTGATTGGGAGATTTCGAGATTATAGATGAAGGAAAATTACAATGGTTTGTGGGTAGAACGCACAACACTCGGAGTTTAAAAAAAAAGCTGCAGAATGGTTTGCGGAGAACACCAGCACCCCTTAATGAGCATAAGTATGTCGAAGAACCTCGTTCAAAACACTCCGTAACTTTGACTAAAGGAC